AAATAGAATTTCAATACCCACGAGCCTCCTTCACGGAACTATGTAAGGGAACTGGGTAACCGGGATGCTGGAAAGCCACTCCTTTCGTGATTTGTGATCGGTTAAAAAAGGATGAATGTGATATCCCTTCCGACAACAACATAGACGAGCGGTCCAATAGTTCATGAGGAAATATCGCTTTTTAATCTTCCAGCAACATTATTGAGGATACTTTTTTGTAAAAAAGAAAAAAAGTATTGTTTCTTCATTAGGGAAACAATCATACCTGGATGTTTAGAAGAAGATCCGTTTAAGTAAAAAAGATTAGCCTCATCGCACAACATCATCATGGGTTCTCAATCTTATCCAACAGCCCTGTGATCATTGTTTTTTTCAAACTCAGGCCAAAGTATTCCTTTTTTAAAACATTTTCTGTCTTCCTGGGTGGGGGTTACGTACCGAGAATGTATTTCCACAAACCCCACGGATTAGAACAGAAATATATTATAATCTCACGCCATCGTGGTTTTCGAAAGCCAAAACAATTCTCATGAAACAACATCTTTTCTTCTGGTTGTGGGATGAGGTAGAGATGTTGCATCGTCAACAACCCACACGATTGAACAGAAAGTGGATTGTTTTTAGATATAAAAATTAATGGAAGTGAAAGTAAAAATGAAGTCGTGTTGGCTGGAAATATTTCTGGCTGTCGAATGGAAAAAATTTCCAAAGCTTAAAAAAAAAAAAAAAAAAAACTTTCCTTTTTTTCTATTAATTTGATGTCTTCACTTTGTTTACTTGGAATGGAGAAACCCAAAGACTGACTCATCCTTTCTAAAACATATAATTCCTAGAATGAGTCATGGTCTATTTCTAGAAACAGTGAGACAACATTCCCACACAAAAGGGGGGTAGGGTTATTTTTTTTTTTTTTTTTTAAATCTACTTTGGAATTTTTTCTGAGCTCTGGCTAGAAAGAACTCTGGCTAGAAAGAACTATTTAAGACGTGCGAAACGAATTTCACTTTAAATCATTCGGTGCCGTGAATTCAACATTATATAGGAACAGACTTTATGAAGGTAAAAGTGCTCAGTTTATCTATTCTTTAGAGGAGCACGTGGAGATTTTATAGGATATTTACATACAAAGCATTGCTTGTATGATTTTAAGAAATAATAATCAAGTTAAAGATATAATCATGTCGCAGCGCCTCCATTATTAAAAAGGATTAATTCGGTTGCAGATGCGCCCACGATGCTTACAATTTCTACCAGATGTCGGGAGGATTCTTTTACTGTAACCGAAAAGACTACGCACAATTTTCTCGATTTTTATTACTCGAACGTTGCCGAAAATCTTTTTTAACAATGGATCTTGCTCGACGACCCATCATTCCCTTATCCTAGATATTGATATTAAAACCGAATGCGATGCATCCCTTCCTTCATCTATGCTCTACGATTATGTAGATTCTGTTATTCTCTCAACCTTAAAATTTTACTTTTTATCCCTTAAGCATTTTACTTTTATTGTGGCTGTTCGTCCAGGAGGTGGTATTCATGTCCATTTGCCGGAAATCTCGATCGCTCATGATGATTATATTCAATTCTGCAGCCAACTTCAACCCCGGTTCTATCACGAAACATCTGAATTTATTTTCCAGTTGGACGTTTTAGCGAATGCGACGCTTGTGAATTCCTCCAAGCCCTATACGAATAAATACGAACCCATGCTGATTATTTATGTAGACGAACAAACCACCTGGCGTTTAGATTTGACCAATCCTAATGCTTTCAGCATGCGATTGTTAGGCATTCAATCAAAATTTAAACGTCGCAAGGATTTACATCTCAAAATTTTTTTCTGAGCTCTGAAAAATTTTCCCAGTCGGCAACCAAGTGAAAAATTTCCAATCGGCTTTTACTTTCACTTTCAACTCTTTCTAAAAAGCATTCCAACGTTTTCTGTTCAGAACGTGCGGGCTCTCCATAGTGCAACATGCTTTTTCTCTCTCTACCTCATCTGCAGCTAGGATGTTTTTCCTTCTTCAAGAAGTGGAATTCTTTGGGAACACCTTACAATTTCACGAGCTAGCTGTTTCTTATATTTCGAGGAGATTTCAATGAAATTGTTTATAGATGTCACCTATTGCAGATGGGGAAAAAGTCTATACTGGATCGCTGGAGACATCTCATCCAGATAGGTCACGTCATATTTTTCCCACACCTAAATAAATTGGACATGAGCCATCCTTTTGTTTTCTCATCCAACAAAGATAGACACTGCAGACCGTTTGGGTTTTACTCTTCGCGAAACGAGACGAGCCGCAGCGACACTTTGCGTTTGTATGAGCGCAATAATGGATTACGTGAGCAGCCATTTTTTTCCCATTCACCCAGATAGTTCATGTTGTATTTTGTTTCATGCACCTAGCCAATTTTGGACATGAGCCATCCTTTTGTTTTTTTTTCCATCGAACCAAGATGGACTCTGGAGACAATTTTGTTTCTCAACGGAAAAGTAAATTTTCTGAATGGTTGCCGGTGTTCGAATACTTTTGTGACCGACTGTACGTGTGTTTAATATTCCTAATGAATTTGAATCAAAAAAATTTTAATTTTTAGCAACCCATGATTATATCAATAATTTTATTTATTCAGAAATTATACCTATCACGTAGCTACAAATATACTATGTATCGTAGATACCAATAAGCAATGAGTAAAAATATAACAAACTTTTAACAAAAGTAACAGGAAGAAAAATAATAAAAATTAAAAAACTATAGGTTAAATCATAAGATATATTATCTTGCACACACACACACATATATGTATTTTAACATATGCAGTGAAAGGAAGTTGCAATACATATTCCTTTTTATACCCTTTTTAAATCGATCCCACCAATGACCGTGTGTTAAAATCGCTGAACACTGGTAGTTCGGTCCGAGGTCCAAATACTGTGAACGGGTTTGTTGCATTACCAATATATCTGTCATTACCAACATATTTGTGTAATTTCCAAAAGCATAAAAAATTAAGGCATACAAAACCTGTTTTAAATAAATAACTATATGTATATATAAATGTATTATAAATATATTAATATATGCAGTGAAAGGAAATTGCAGTACATATTCCTATTTATCCCCTTTTCAAGTCGGTCCCACTAGTGGCCCAGCTTAAAATCTCCGAATACTGGTAGTGCGGTCCGAGGTTCGAATCCCGCGAACGGGCTGGACGCATGGGCGTCATTACCAATGTATCTGTCATTACCAATATATCATTGGTAACTTTCAGAAGCATAGAAGTTTAAGGCACAGAAAATCTGTTTTAAATATTTATATATATATATATATATATATAATGTTATAAATATATTAACAGATGCAGTTGAAAGAAATTGCAGTACATATATATTTATACCCTTTTTAATCGATCCCACCAGCGGCCGGTAAAATCGCTGAACACTAGAAGTTCGGTCCAAGGTTGGAATCCCGCGAACGGGCTGGTTGCATAGACGTTTTCGTGGTTTTCCCCATGTGTTACGAGTATACGAGCTAGTAACCTTTAGAATGTCCTCCACGAAGGCAACTCTCGCTTTAGGCAGATAGCCCTCGAGGCTTTGCCGTAATTACATAAAACCAAAACTAAACACTTTTTGATCTGAATAAATATACACAAAACTGATGTAATATCTAAAAGTAGCCCACATTAAAAAATCTGATAACTAATTATAAATTTTGCATTATAATATTGACAAGAATTTAACCGAAAATTATACAGGAATTTAACTTGTTTTATACAGGAGATTCTAGAAACTATTGGAAATTGACATTGATATCGGTACAGTTAAAACTACTTAAATTTTTTAACTCAAAGCAATTTAATGTAAATGTTGAATTTAGGATGTGCATAGTTTGAATTATATACTGCATATTCTTTAATGCATGTCTAATGTATTACATTTTTATGCACTACAAATTCAAATAAAAGTAGAGGGAAATACATTATAATTTAAAACATAAAATATCAAAATTTATAAATTACTCATCAAAACATGAAATTAAGTACATTGATATATACATTTGTTTAAAAATTACAATTTTAAATTAAAAGTATGCGCCCCTTCTTTATATGTGAAATAGGAAAACACCAAATACATTATTTTCACTAAAATTTAATTAAGGAATTGGTAATGTAGAATAAATAAATAATGTAGAATCGTCAACATCAAATGCGTTATTTCTATAGCGAAATACTCAAGTTTTTCACAAATCTTAAGAAATTAAAATATCTATTACGTACACTTTCAAAAACAATCCGTGACCTTCGCCGTCCTCAGTTTAGCTCTAAAACGATAGTCGGAAACTTAAACGGCAGCTGTCCAGCTGACGGATAAATTTCCGACGCGTCGATCTCTGTAATGATCTGGTCTGGTCTCGACAGAAAGCGAGTCTGGTGATGACACCAAACTCGCTTTCTGTCGAGTAGATCGCAAAAAGCGACCCGTTCTTCTATCTCGACGGTGTCCAGGTTAGGGCCCTTGTTTATGTTGAAAGAATAGGCAGACATTTGTCAACAAACCGCCTGAACGGGCTGACTGTTTGAGCATTTTCGTGGTTTTCCCCATGTCTAAAACACGGATACAAACCAGTGCCTTTAGGGAGTCCTCCACGAAAGCATCCCTTCCCTGGGCAGATAGCCCTTGAATACTTTGCCATAACCAAGTAAATCTATTCTAATTTTATGTTGTAATGGGCGACGCTGTTTAATTCTTTTATTGCGATATTATTTTTTGCCAAGCTGTGGGGGCGCAGTAGTCAGTTCAGCTTACGTTGAGGTTGCGAAGAGTTTCTTTCTTGGAAGTTACTCTGTTTCTATTTGATACAAAAGTCGTTCTAGGAGTCTGAGTGTCGGCTTCTGTTAAAATGGCTGCGACTAGGCGACTGCAGAAGGTAATAGAGATTTATTTGAAAAATTTAATGTAATTAACAGCTTTGATTTGTAAAATACTATTTTTTTAAGTGTATTGTTTTCCTCTTTTTCATAGTGGTTGCATTACAGACAAATCAATATGAAAATTCCATGTGTTTGAATAAGTATATCATTAATTCCTGAAAATAAAATTAATATGAAATAAAACTGTATTATTTGAGTTTTAACCCAAGCCTTCATGAAAGTTATCTGTGTTATTTCATCTTAAATTGTTACTTAACTGTGCTTTAATAAAGTCATATGGGCACGCTGAAATTTATCCCTTTCGTTAACAGTTTTTCATTATCATGTAAAAAGAACTGAACTATTTTCGCCTCCTACTGACTTAGTAAGCATTTTTCTTTTAACGTTTATTCATTTTATTGTACAGCAGAATCGAGCTTCGAAGTTCAAAACGTTTTGAGATCAGTCTGGAAGAGTGTTACTCCAGTGCTTCAAAACCGTGTTCTGAGCATGGAATGAATGTATTGGTTTGGGAATTTGGTTAAATGAAATTTGTTAATGACTTGTCAGGTCTTAACAGCTTTGGGAAAAAGTATATAATGATAGTTTTCTGGATGGTGCCTCAAAATGACTTCTGTAAGTAAGAGCAAATATAATAATCAACTTGTAAAGAGAAGTACAGTTGTATTGCTCAAATTTAAATTATGCTAGGTTAAAAGTCAAGAATCTGGTTTAAGTGAGTTGTAGGCTTGTTATGTATATTGATTTGAGTAATACAAAATCGTAGAGTACATATGAGAAAATTTTTGTTTACTTGGTAACCAAATATAGGTAATTGTGTCTTTGAAGCATTCATAGAAGAATTACTGAAGAAGAAATAGGGAGGGGGGACTTCTTGTCATGTATAAATAATGTGCTTATAACTCGTATATAATCTATAATTTATCATGTGTTGGGAAAAAGATACTTGTGTGTTTTTTTATGAATGGTTGAAGGTTTAAAAAATGTAGCCATAGTGTTTCCTAAATTTCGTTTATAAAATACTGAAACCTTGAAGAATCCATAACTTTGAAAAGAATCACAATAATTAAATTGAAGACATGACTAATAGCTAATTTTTAGAAGTGAGAGTAATGTCTAAATTTTCTTGAATTTGAGTACTTAGAGGCTTTGGAATTCTTCATGTAAAAATAATAAACAAAAAGAAAACACATTTTTGCTTAAACGTATTTTTTTTTTTTTTTTTTTTAAATCAAAGGGTAGTATTAATCTGTGCATAATGGAAAAAGAAACTTAAGATTAGTTTTTAAAATATACACCTATATTTATTAATGTAAAAAATAAATTTTATAAATGAAATGTAATATTTAAACTCTGAGATTTACTTCTTGGACATAATTTCACAAAATATATTTGGTTTGTAGTTTTATTTATTTTGACATTTTTTGAGTCCTTTTTTAATCAAAGCAAGAAGGAGGAAGATGATTTTAGATGTTAACGTAGATGAACACTAAATAAGGAACTGCAAATCTAAACTGGAAAGTAAAGAATATTGTGCTGAAAGATGCAACACAGTGATCCAAGTACCAATAAAATAGTAACATTTGTACTTTTTATAATAAATGCCCTTTCTAGATGTTAAAAAGAATATATTTTTTAATCCAGTTAAAACATCTGACATAATTTTAGGTTAGAATTTGGAGGATGGGGAAAAAGCATGAAAATCCATATTTTAAATCTCTTTTAACATTTTATTGATTCATTTATGTTAATTTCATCTTTTTAGAAATATACTATAAACAGGTTATTTATTAATCAAAATAAAAGCTGGCAGCCAGTAGCAATGAATAGTTAGTGTTGAAGTAAATAACTTAATAGAGGGTAGATATCCTCAATTTCTTTTCCTTTGGGTACTGTAAAAGAAAAGTAAGTGAAAATGCACTGTGTTTCAAAGGAAAGATGCTGTTTTACATTGCGGTAGGAAATATATATCAATAGGTGAATAATTTTTATTTTCATGTGATTATAAAGTAACGCTTCAAGTTTCAGTATATGGAGTTTAAGACCAATATTATGATCTCTTAATTTTGAGATTTGTTATCTGAATTCCCTTTATCTTACTTGGGAGAGCATATCTGTTATCTCTTCAGTAATGGTGGCAGTAATTCCTAGAAAGCATTTTGATAAGCATAAGTTGATAAAAGTAGTACAATACTCAATATTTTGCAAAAAAAAAAAAAAAAAAAAAAGGACAAATAATACCTTCTAAGTTTTTTTATGCAGTAAAAAGTGAATGTGTTTCATCAAGTTATTTCGCTATATTATAACTCGTACTGCATTTTAATTTTTATATATTTAGTAAATCGTTCTGCTTTCCACAGCAATGTTCTGTATACCTTCTAATAAACAGAAGTATACTTTATAATTTTTCTTCCCTCTGAATTGTAATCACTACAATACTGAAAACAATTTTAGCATTATTATATTTCTGCTCTTTATTGTTATGGGAAAAATGCTCTAATTGTTTGGAAAATCTTATATTTTTAATACTTAAGACTTAAATGTATGTGTACAGAAATCCTTGGAAGTATCTTAAATTACTTAGTTTTGGTTTATTTTAACTTGTTTCTGATTAGTGCTATTAACCCGGCATTACATGCGAGAGAAAAACGAGCGGCATTACATGCGCTGGGTGTGTCATGCCCAGGGTGGTTTCTTACTATTTTCTACTATAAAATTTACACAAAACATAAAACAGAAGAAAAAGATAAAAGTCGAAAAAGTTTTAAACATATATTTAAAATATTACTTACAATTATTCTGTACATTTTGTGCAAATACATGCCATATGTTCCATACATACATGTTTTTGACATTTTTCACAAATATATTTTGTTTTTCTGTCCTTTTTAGATCCACATTCAGCACATCTTTTTAATTATTACTTTTGCCTTCTTAGCAGATGGTTGAGAGTCCTCATTCTTTACCAGTTTCACTTTCAAACTTTGCGGGAGCATTGTTTGCTGGCTTCTGATCTTTTTGTAGACTTCGATTAGTTTAAATCTCAAACTTTTCAGAAAAAAACATTGTGTTCGATTCTGAGTTGGTGGTTCCTTAGTGGATAGCAAAATAATGTGTGCATTTATAGCAGCTACATTCAACATTGCATAAAATATCGTCATAGACCATCAATTTGTTTTTTTTTTAGTTGTTGAATATGTTGCAGCCATTTCGTCGACAACATCGACAGCTCCTTTCGTTATATTATAGAAAGTTAGGTTGATCTTTGGATTATGGTAACTTGCCGATTTTTTGGCGAAAATTTGGCAACCAACTCTGATACAGCAACCCTCTACTTTTTTTTTCGCCGCCATTTTGTTTTCACGAAGTAAAGACATATTTCTTTTCTTTTTATTTACTCGACACTTTTTTCCAACAATCTACTAGCCGAATTACACTTATGCTAGAAATTTTATGTAACAAAACTGCTTAATCATGACAAATATTAACTGAAAAATTCGGAAATAGTGCACAATCGCAAACTCTTTGCGCGTTTTTCAGAATAGCACATACACATAAACCATTTACACGTCGACTTATTTTTACTTAAAAAAACATCCCAGAATTGCACAAAAATGGCATTGCACACACTCTTAACTTTATCCATCTACACTGCTATTTTCTCATAAATTACAAAACGTTGCACGAAAATGCAGGAAAATTTTCTTAATCTTTAAACTTGGTATAAAGCACATATATGAAATTACCTGATCGTGAAAAAGTATATACCCTTTCCAAGGATCAACATTTCCATGTATAAAATAAATAAAATATCCAAAAGCTTTTACCTCTAAATTATCGGTTGATCTTTACAATATGGTAACTGGTAGTTTGGCGATATTTTGGAGGCGATAAAGGTTACTACCTGGGACTTTGGTAATAATGTGAGCAGTACTCAGTTCCGATTACGCATTATTTTGCGTGAGGGAAATGAGAGATCATGGGATATGTCATGTGATATTAATGGACGAATTACGGTTCTTTAATCGGAAAAGGGGGGAAATCGGGAAATTTTGTATTTAGCTTTATTCTGTGTTGTGTGAAACAGTGTTTGTTAATTTTTGGATCCCATGGCCCTAACTAAAATGAATTCGAAATGGGTATTTAGGCATTGTGATAAAGAGAAGTTTGCTTTTTATTTAGCGGAGGAAGTATGGAGGAAAAATTCGCAGAAAAAATCTTTCAATAATTTTATTGAATGAATTAGAAAAGTGTATCCGCCACGTAATCAAGATTCTGAAGAAGATTAGGTAAGTTAGTATTTTTAATTATTTGAGGATATTATTTTTATGCATTGTTCTAAATGTAAGGTGGAAAGGAATTTGGTATTATTGGGAAAATTATTATTAGCAATGATTTAGTTTAAAGTAATTAGGATTGTAAGGTAATTTTTATTAATTTAATGTATGTGCTCATTTATATTTTAAGTAGTGTTTTTGAATTTAATTATATTTTAATGAAATGATAGTTATTTTGTGAATTTTATGTTTGTAGGAATTTGGTATATGTTTAAGTTGAAGTAAACGTGCATGGAAATAGTTTAAATATTTGATACTAAGTATTTGTAATGCTTGCGGTATGAATTCGTTGGTGACTTGTATAATGTAATAGATGATTTAGAGGTAAAAGTTTTTGGATATTTTATTTATTTTATATGTGGAAATGTTCATATTTGTAAAGGGTAAATACTTTTTCGCGATCAGGTAATTTCATATATGTTCTTTTTACCGGGTTTAAAGATTGAGAAAATTGTCATGTATTTTTGTGAAATTTTTCTAATTTATGAGAAAAAAGCAGTGTACATGGATATAATGAAGAGTGTACACAATGCCATTTTTGTTGTTTTTTTAAGTAAAAATAAGTCGGCGTGTACATGGTTTATGTGTATGTGTTATTTTGAAAAACGCATAAGGAGTATGGTATTGTGCACTTTTTCCCAATTTTGCAGTGAATATTT